GCAGGTGAGTAATTATAGCAATGGATTGAAACGTCTCTTAACGTCTCTTTCGCACGCAGCGGTCATAATATAACTAGATCATTAAACTATACCATTTCCAATTAGGAATTATTATACGCTTTCCAACCACGTTTCTGGGTTAACGATTCATCAAAAGTCGTGGACACGTGTCATCATTTTCCTGACATCAATGCGCGAAATACAAAGTCCTAAAACACGTAGTCGTAGCTATTGAAACAGAATAGATTTGACTGGGATATTAAAAATATCAATGTAATCAAAATCAATCAAAATAACATTTTTAAATTTCAAATCAATCCTGTTTACAAATAATGGCATTTATATTTTTTCACATTTTTTTAACAATATAATCTGTTCTGTATGTAAATTGATAATACTTATAATATAAAGTATTCTTATAAAATTATGATAACTTTGGGAATTGTAGGTATGTGTTAAAAAATAATATGAATATTTAATGTAAATCTTATATTTATTGAAGAATATGTCTGACCAAATAAATTAAGATTATAACAAAAATTAATAATTTCATTATATATCTCTCATATATGTAGTTTGTATTGTATCTATCGATGATTTTGTTTATCAGATAATATAGGACATATAAAAAAAATTCTGATACATTTTCTTTATATTTATTATAAAGGATAATTATAATTATTCAATATTATAAGATATCGAATTCATATCACCATGTTTCATAAAGTCATTTATTTTGCTATACAAAATAGTTAATTGTATTGAAAAATTTAATATTAAGAGGAAAATTGCGAGCCTTCAGATTTAAATTATCATTTAAATTTGAATGTTAATTTTTTGTATTGAATCCATAATTAATTAAAAATGGTAAATATTTTCCTATTTTATATGTCTTGAATTTTATTGTACTAAAAACAATTTTTTAATTAATAACATTATTCTTATTGCGTGATAAATAGCCATGGAAATTTTCAGTTTAATTAATAAATTTCTGCTCTGCGTAAATTATTTTATGCCAAAACCACGTACACTAAAACACTATTTTACCGACAATATAATATGTAATTTTAAATGTTATCTTACTGATACATAGTAAGAAAATGCTTTTATAATAACATCGACACTTTTCAATTTTTATCATAAATTATTACTTGAATATACAATTGTCATGTTACTTTATATAGATAAATTGTGTTAATATTTATAACATTATAAATTTGGAGAAATATTAAATATTAACATTGGCGATTATTAATGGTTGATATAATTTTTATTTACCGAATTTATGAATATATTCATAGCTAAATGATATGACTAATATATAAATCAAATACGTATAATATAGAAATGGTTTTTCATCTGCATAAGATAATTAATGTAACCTGGTTTCTGTATGAAGACAACGAAACTATTTTCAAGATAATTTAAGATATTATTTTTAATTGTTGAACTAATATTAGACATATTACAGAATCAAATTTACGAATTGTACCTAATATCGGCATAACTTTAATGTATTAATTGTAGTACATAGTATGAATATTATATAATATATTTTTGACATTACAATCATATGGATTTCTACTGAAGTTCAACATCATTATAATTTATAGCAATTTCATAAAATTAATGTATAAACTGTTATTTAATTATAATGGTAAATGTAAATACGAATTCAATTATTAATTGAAATACAAATTACTTTTATACAAATATATAATTTTATACAAATAAAAAATTAATATTGCCTATGAATTAAAAATTGGAATTTATTATGATATAAGGATATTGTAAAAGAATCATGAATTAATCGTGTTAGGAGTATATTTATTTAATTAGTTCTAATATTTTGTGAATGTAAAATGGCTCATAATATAGAAAAACAGTTGTACTAGATCGAGGAAAATTAAGCATATTAAACTATATTATGTTTTAATACTAAAATATATGCAATATAGATCTGAAATTTATATTGTAGTTGGTTAAATACAATATTTAGGTAATTAAGGTTTCTTCATAAAATTATAATAAAATTAATTTATTCAATCGCGAAATAAATTCTTTTCTTTAAAACAAAATGCTTGAAATTTACATCATATAAATGTTGAATTTTATTATCAGAATTATAAGTAATTAATATATAGATTAAAACAATTTTTATTTAGTTTTTATCAAAGGTTTTTCCATGAATTTGAAAATGTAATGTCTTGCTTGTAATGTCTGTTTGACGTAATAGCAATTGTATATTTAAAATAAAATTTTTATATTTTCAAATCACAAATGCGAAAAAAAATAATGTCAGCCTTATTCTTATAAATAAGGATTTTCTAGAATTAGAAAAAATCTGACTAGTGTACCGGTAAATTGTGATACAGTGGGGAGAAGAGAGAGATAAAAAGAAGAGAAATAAGATAGAAAAGTTGTTGACACCTTAAAAAGGAGAACTGTAGAACACAGGAAACGGTATTTATAATGGACATTTTCATTCAACTGTAGCATTTCATTTTTCTTTCATCTTCTATAGAATCTCATTCTTCTTTCCATTTATTATTTTTCGATTTCTATTTCAATGAACTTCACAGTCCAATTTATGGAATTTACCATGGTACTAAGATTCCAGGTAGTAGTCTCCCATTTTTTCTGTTCCCCTTCTTATTTCCCTGCTCTTTTTTCTCTTTTTATTCTTCATACCTTTTTATATTTTTTTCTTCTATCCATACTCCCGTTATATAGAATTTATATTACAAAACGAGATTGAGTCTTTCTTTTCTTGGTTGCTTGTATGGCATGTCCTATTTCTTTCCTATGCTACCAGTGCATGAAAAATTTTTTTTGTCAAATTATTATGAAGCGCCGAGTATTAAGTCAAACTGGTGGGTCGATCATTGAAATCTAGGAAATCGTTATAGGTCATCTTGAGATACTGCGTTTTTCAAGTGTCGAGCTGCGCTTAAAAAGTTTTCAATTGACATCCGGTTCAATTTACGAGTTTTCAATGAGGTAAAAAAAAAGTTCGAATGATTATTGCATTTCTATAGTATGCTCTTATAAATGCATTTAATACTTGTAGTCATATTAGTTATATTATTATTTTCATATTATTTAGCTAATTAGACATACTGTTTAAATTAAAATTAAGAACGTTTCGAAATACAAATTATTAATTATTTAATTTGCTGAGTGAGATTCTTACATCTTGTTCAGGTAGTTACTTTTTATGCAATTACCAGTTATTTCGTCAAATAATGATAGTTGTATTTTTTTAAGTATACCCACTGATAGTTTTATAGCTTAAATGTGAGATTTAGTTTTTATACTTTCATTATTTATGTAAGCCGTATGAATCATAAATGAAGAATTAAAATAAAATTTTATCAGGTGTAAATAGTGTGAATAAAAATCTAAATACGTAAAACTATATTTTTAGGCCAAAACAATTATTAAATTTGCATATATAATATAAATAAGGTTTTATCTTTATATATAAAAATCGATATATAAATATGTCATAAAAATATAACATGATTTTTCATTATGATGTTATATTTTTCTCTAATATATATGCATAAATATACAGTATATAATCATAATAATTAAATAATACTTATTTCTAATGTTATCTCATAATTTTTTTTTTTTTTGGTATTGACAACATTATGAATTACTCATTTACAAATAATTCATATAAATCCGAAATTATAATATTATAATAGTATATATTATTATTTAATTCGCAATTTATAAAATACTGATTTACATATTTTTATATTTGTAAGTCTATTGTACAATCAACAAGAATGTACACTATAAATAAAATTATTGATTATATTAATACTAATGTTTTAAGGAGCAACATAAATTTTGTAGTTTTCTTTAGCCGATGTACTGATAGCTTTGATCTTTTCAATCTTTTTAATACTATAAATTTAAGTATGCATCCACAGATTAAAAAAGTTATTTTTGTAAAATAATTATTATTGCCATATTTATCTATAAATGTTTATTATACATTTTATATAAAACTTATCTGTGAATTAAGCTAGAGTTTTTCAATTTTCAAGTTTTCAAGATCATTTTTTCAAAATCAAGTAATTATGGACCGAAAATAGGATTTTGAAAATCAATATCCGTAGTATATTTAATATTGTCCGTTAATTCATCTTTTTTCAGGATATTCGGAAACAATCTTATGACTATAAAATACAATTTCTTGCGTATAAAAATGTTAAAATTATATTTTCAATTTTTATGTGAATACAAATGAATGAAAAATAGAAATATTATGCGAGTATAAATCATTAAATGCATACGATAGTAGAAAAATAGTATTGATATTCGCGAAGACGCATTAAAGACACATTAATTTAAAAATAAATATGAAAATTACTATAATAATTATTAATCGACATTTTTTTCACAGTATAAAGTCATATGATTCTATACTTAGATCTTCAATTTGTGTCGTTAATTTGCATAAAATATTCAACTATAATATATGACGCTATTAATAATTTTACTATATTAGAAAATATGTAATGAATATAAAATTTATAAATAATACAAATATAAACGGTAAAATACTATTCCAAGGCATATATTGCATATATTATGAACCTCCTTATTTTACAAAATCTATATTTACTATTTACAGTGTATTTCAATATAGATAAAAGATAACGTCAATGTTAAGTGTTACGTATAATATATTTGATCATTGTCTGAAAATCAAACGAATACATTAACAATATAAATAAGACGTATCATTTTCCATCTTCGAATTTAAAATTGCGTATTAAAATATAACAAAAGTCTTTAGGTTGATAGCTTGTAAAAAAAAAGTAATTGACCAAATCATTAGAGTTTCTGACAACGGAATGAAAATCGTAACGAGTTTCGATAAAATCAAAGAAAGGATCAAAGCTACAGAGACATCCCTGTTGCGGCCAGTCGTTAGCTCTACATCCTCCGACCAATAAGCACTCACTATTACTGTTCCAGGATCGGGAGTTCGTGGAGATGGAGGTGCCGTTCAACGGAGCACCCAAAAGGCCTGGTTCACCTTCGCCTCTGACCTCCCCGGCGCACAGCACCACCTCTCGCGGTGGTCTTCTTCAATCCTGCTGTGGTCGCTGCTACCCTCAGCGCTATCAGGTACGCGGTCGGCGCATCCTCGCTTCTACGACCTCAATAAGCGAGGCGCAGGCGACCACGAGTCAGGCGCTTCTGCAGCCGGCTGCAGGAGCCTCTAGCGGCGACGACGACCTCGTCCAGGTGCCGAACATCGCGTTCAGCGGGGAGAGCGAATCCGTCCATCGCTCGTGGCACCGCGAATCCTACAGCGAGACCCGCGTCTGAACTCCTAGTGCCTCGTCGCTCTCCCCAGCTTCCTTGTAATGCTCAACTATTCCCCTCTCAACTATTCCCCTCCCTCTTTACCACCGAGTTAGAAAGCCCCATTATTTTATCTTACTTTCGGGTGACTAGTGGTATTGGGATAACTGGAAGTGACAGATGGTTCGAGAGATGTAGAGTCGAATTTAGTGTCAAACAAATGGAATGATTTGTTTTCCTTAGGTTTTGCAAGAAGAAACGCGAATACATAGGATAAATCGTAGACGATCTTCGTTTTATAAGATTAGATTCTATTTATATATCTAATACATTTTAACTCTTCGGATTTTTAATCGTTAATCGCATTTAACATCGGCAGCTTATCAATTAACAAATTCCTTCTTAATTTCATTTTGTCTCAATACATACAACTTATATATAATAATTTTAATGTTTTCATGTATTTTCTAAAAGTAATAATGTCTTATTAATTAGGACTAAAGCTCAGTATTTATTGTAAGATAAAATTAATCTCTCTATTCTAGTAATTTATGTTTTAGCATCATATTAAAATACAGTCATAAGAACTGCATAATTTAAAGTATACGATTTAATTTGCTGATTATTCAAGCGTTCCTTGGAACTTTATATCAATAAAAATTCTAAGAAAATCATTTTAGATTTTTAATCTGTATCTTGAATTAATTTTTACTATTGTATATATACAAAGCATTTACGATCAATTAATACATATAATAATTTGGTCTTTAAAATAAATTAAACAAACAACAAATTAGTTTCATCTCATATTTTATTTTAATATTATATTTTAAGGTAGTAATCTTCTAATGGCCACAAGTACGATAAATATTTTATGCCAAAATATGTATAAATGCTAAATGCAGAAACCGGAGTTCTGATGTTCCTGAAATTTTAAAGACATATCGGTATGAAATTAATTATACATACAAATAAGAAATACAATAATTTAAAATTAATCACATTGGAATATTATCTTGAAAAAAAAATAAGCCTTTTGTCAATCAAATTTTAATTTACAAAGAATAACAATAATAAAGAAAACGAACAATAGGATTAACGGTAAAAGTATAACAAAGTAAATAATTAACAATTAATTTGAAATAATTCTATTCTAAACAAACCTTTGACATATTCTAAATATTTTTTATTCTACTATGAATAATATAACTAAATAGCATAATAATGTGTGTTTCCATAATACATAAGACAACATTAAATTTGAAATTAAAAAAGAACGATAGTTTAGCATAAGCTTTTAATAATTGTATCGAAGATAATAATATGAAATTCCAAATACATATTCTTGTAAGTGATGAAATGTAACGAATTTAAAATATAACTTTCTATTGTTTAACGTTTATCAGACAACAATTACAGCATTATAACTAAATAAGTTTTTGACATGTCTATAATAATAATAATAATAATAATAATAATTATTATAATAATAGTAATAAAAAAACTAAAAATAATAACAGTAATAATAATGATATTAATTATAATACTATTAATAAAATTAATCATAATAATAACAACAATAAAATCAATAACAACAGTAATAAAATAATAATAATAATAATATAATAATAATAATAATAAAAGAAGAAATAATATAAGTAATGATGATCATTTAATTTATTCACTAACCAAGTTTATATTTAAATATTTATAGATCAGTGCTTTATTTTTTATACTATTATGATATATTATAATGCATATCTGATTAAGAACAGTTATATTTATTTAATTTTCATTTGAAACAAGGGAAACAGAATACTGCACATAATATCTTCGAGTACTTTTCCCAATGAAAATCGCTATTTGATGACTTCGTGCTTTTATTAATCACTACGATAAAATCAGACGGAAAAAGTAACGAAATGATCGAATTTAGCATTCTTGTCGTAAAGTAGAATAATGAAATGATAATAAAGGACTTGATATTTGTGGCTGAACCGAACTTTCACATATGCATACACACAATCATCCACACACATACATACACACACGCGCGCGCGAGCGCGAAGAATAAATGCACACGTATATATGTGTATTAAAATAGTTATTCATAAGTACTATCAATATACAATCGTAATTAGTCTAAAAACAGGAATAGATTTTAATCCTCCCAATTAAGGATATCAGAGGATTTCACTGTATTGTATAAATTAAATTGTGGATCTTTTGTTAGATTACAACATGAGAATCACGAGTAACACCAGAATACTCTAATATTATGATTATGATTATTATTATAAAACTTGAATTTATCATCGATATTAATATTTATAATCATTATTGTTATTATTATTCTAACTTATATTATATTATTATAAATTATATGAACAGTGCATTTGTGTCGCGACGGTTAAATTTTAAATTGCTCTTCGTAGGTATCTCTGATTCTCTTTCTGACTTTTCTATTCATCATAGTTAAATCCAACAACTTAATCGATATAAAAACTATTCTACACTTTGTATTATTTACTTTTCACAAAATCGAAAATTAATTTTGAAAGAATCAAAATACTTGTCTTCAAATACAGAATCTACCTGTCGCCCAATTCGTGTCTTTGTATTAGATGTCACTCACTATAACTCCTGGTTGTTATTTTAAAAATAATCTGTTATGATCTTGAAATCCTTTTTTTAAATAATTTTATTTCACTACTTTTCGTAATAATGATAGAACTAACAAATTTTTTGCTTATTAGTAAAGTTATAGCATCTAAAATTTACGGTCTAAGTTGTATGGAGATTTTTAAATAAGTAAAAGTATTTTTATTTATTCTTAATGATCTGCATACTTGTAAATAATTACAGATTTATAAATACTTCGTTACATGTTTATGACTATTATAAAACAATAAATAATAAATATTGTTGGAAAGGAAAGTATGTAATGAAAGTATTAAAATTATTAATAAGAAAAATAAAATGTTCAATTTATTGTTATTGAAAAATTTTTTTAAACTGAATAAAAAAAAATAATAATAAATATATATATATATAGACGGAATGGATTGTGGAATAGATGAAGCATTAATAACTTGCAAATTGAAGTATAATACGGATAATTTAAGATAGAATTGGACAATCTTGTGTAGAGTCTAATGTATTTTAAATATCATTTAAATACAAGGTCTTTATAATTTAATATAAATATGTGACTAAAGATAATCAATTAATTATTGAAATAGAAAATAATTATGAAAACAATTTATAGATTGAAAAATATTAAATAATTATCATGTATGATTTTTAGTTTCAACAGATTCAGTTCATAAATGCAGAAAAGATATTTCAAATAAAGTTTTAAAATACGTTATTAGGCTCCAGTTAGCAGACCCTTTCAACTGGAAATATGATTCCACGAGAACCAATTTTGTCTCTTGGGTTAGTTATTCAGAAAAATTCGTTACTTCCGTTCTCAATCGGTAATCAATCGCGCACAAACCGATCCTAAACTAACTGTATGATTTTTTTTTATATAACTACTGTAATCGAGTTTAAATTCACATATTTTAAGTCAAGGATATAATATGTTATCTAATAAATTATATAATATAACAATTTTTTATATTTCTTTCATATAAAATGTACATATTTTATTTTTGTTCTTATTGAACTTGTATTAAAATAATTATTTCTTTTGGTATTGGAAACAGGATCGTTGTTCTATATTTGAAAAACCTAATATCATCTATATAAAGAATTGAAAACTTTATCGTCTTTAATATTGAAAATATTCAATTTCTATAGAGAACGATATAATGATTTATTTATATTATAATTTTACGAACTTTGTATTATGACATTGGCATTAAAATAATTTCTTGACTGTTATCTCGGTATAAAACATTGTGATATAAAAATCATGTGCTGTATCATACTTTGTTATTTATTGTAATGATGAACTCCTAATATTTAAACACACAATTATATGTTATTAAAATAAATAATTTCATATTTATGACAATCAATTTTTATATAATTTTCTAATATATAGATTAAATTGTGATAATTTGTACATTATTCAAATGCAAAAAAAATTATATCACACAGTATTTATTGATAAATTTATTAATTTTTTTATTAATAATTATGCGTATAATGTTGAAATCATAAGTTAATTAAATTTTTATAGTTTTACTTATTAAAAAACTTAAGTATTTACGTATAAGCACTGAATAATGTAGAAACTAGATCAAAAGATTTCAAGATCATTAAATAAGCATACGGTGATTAGGTATTTCATTCCTCTAGTCGTGAATTATAAATAAACATTGAACAAATATTTCTATGCAGAAAAATCTGATATTTCCTGTACATACAAAACGTACATCATTTTATTCGTCTCTAGATGGATAAACAGTTTCTAGTTATATATAAAAAAAAGAGAGTAACGTTATAGAACTTCATATAAAAAGAATCCCAACGTACTTTTGTCTTCCATTTTTAGAGAATTGCACAAAAAATATATACCTAGCTATATTCATATATACGTATATTTCTAATGTTTGAATAGCAACAATTACACTTCCGACTTTTTATCTTAATACAAAGAGTAATGAAAGAAAATTTATTAAAAAATAGTCTTAATATTTTTCGTTCACAAATTCCTTTAGCTATTAGACTTCTAACTCTCCGAATTTATCCTTTATACCTGCGTCTTTTACAAATTCGAAAACGCGTAGATTTCGCAATACCTAATACACATACACATACAAAATATACACAAAAAACACACACACGCGCGCGCCCACACACTCACATAC